CCCCCGCCTCCCTTTTTTCTTGTCTCTTCTAGGCATCAACGCCCTAGCCGCCAATACTGTAGAAGACATCCTAAAGAGAACTCTAAGCTCCTACTCCGAGGCCGTCGCCACAAGAATCACCAAAGTCATCGTCTGTGTCTACGGCATCATCATCGTGGGCCTGGCCTATGCTGCGAACACTGTCAAAGGTCCTGTCTCCCAGATTGGACTGTCCGTTATAGGCGGGTGTGGGGGACCTATTCTGGGCGTGTTTATGGCTGGAGCTGCCGTGCCCTGGGTCAACAAACGAGCGGCCCTGATTGCACAACTGTCGGCGATAGGGTTCACAGTTTGGATCTCAATTGGAAACCAGATTTATGGCAGAAAGGTGAAAATCCTACCGCCACCTCCGACAGATATGTGTTATGCAAACGCAACTTCTGTATCAGATCTAGCGCTTTTACCACACTCTGGCGTAGGAGCGCACAATATTTCTGTCATGTCGAGCAGTTCGTCCAATACGGTGGCAACGTCTTCGTCGGTAACTGTAGGAGATGACCAAATTTTGGACCCCTATGCATTCGGCTTTTACTTGTATGACATTTCTTACGAATGGTACGCTGTTATAGGAACGGTTATCAGTTTCTTTGGAACGGTGCTCCTCAGTATTCCGGGCAAGGCATCAACTCTTTCTAAAGTCAATTCTAAATTGATCTTTCCGATCTCTCGAAGGTATTGGTCTCTACCCGAGCCCCATCACACACCTGCAGACGAGAGTAACATAGACGCCATTGAAAATTTGAAATTATCCAACTTGAAGATCAACAGCTTCAAGGACACAGAATTCTCATTGGAAGTGAATCAGAAAAAAGAAGTTGAAGATAATAAGGAAACAGAATCTGAGAAGCTTTTGTCTAATCAAGATAACGGGCCCAACAGTAAATAAGGCGACGGCTCGAATAATTAATGCCAGCCTGATACTTGATAAGTGTTTTTGGGTCCGGGCCGTGCGAATGCTCGACCAATAACCTATCGGCCGAGAGAGAGAGAGAGAGAGAGAGAGAGAGAGAGAGA